TCTCTCTCTCTCTCTCTTTCTCTCTCTCTCTCTCTCTATCTCTATCTCTCTCTCTCTCCCTCACTCTCTCTTTCCCTCTCTCTCTTCTTTCTCTTTTAAGTCCTTCTCCAGCTCCCTACACCCCTGACATTAGAAAGGAAAGGGGGCAAACCTAGCACAGTTCTGATCTCCGTGGTCGGCACCACTCTATCCAGGCACAAATCTGGTCATCAGATTCAGCTCTGCTCCAGACTGCTGTCAGCCTTGTATGTAGGCTTATGCAAATTTGTGCTTTTTGCTTCATCAATTTGAGCTTGTTCAAGGAATATACTGTGTTTCAAAAGTTCTGTCACACCCACTTTAAAAGTACAATAACTCATTTACTATTCAAAATAGCCTAGAAAAATCTGGTAAACGCGATCTTTATTTATTTTCTGCCAACGTGACATGAAAAGAATTGAATTATGTCTTTCCTTATTCAAGGGAGATTTAAAAAAATTTCACACTGACCCTTGCAAAATCCAAATCAAAGTTTGCTCAGTATTGCGTGTGGCCTCTTCCAGCTTGAATTACTGACACAAAACATAATCTGTTCATTGACTGAATTAATTACCTTAAGGTTGTCTGAAGAATCCCCTGCCATTCCATGGGAAGTGCAGCCTTCAGTTCCTGACGAGTTTATACGGAGTGCGGCCTGTTTCTAATATTCCAGTCAAGGTCATCTTACATATTATGTTCTGGCTGGTTAAGGCCTGTTGATCTTGCAGGCCAGTCCAGAACAATGATTTGATAAGTTTGGAAAGAGTTTTCACTGATAGCGGCCATTTGTGGTCGGGCGTTGTCTTGTTGGCATATTCCACCATACAGTGCCATGTAGGGCAGTCACCGTGACGAAGAATTTATTCACAATATCGTCGTCCTTTGAGGCTTTGAAAAGTAACCAAATGCGTACAATAAAGAGCAGCGATTCCACCCCTTACCATCACATTTCAGCCACCGATTCGAGCCCCTTGAGGGACGTTGGATTTGTGAAATCTCTATCCTCTTCTTTTAAACACTTTTTCTCGTCCATCAATGCGACGAATTACAAACCTTTACCATTGCTGAATAGAACACTTTACCAAGGTTTTTATTTTCATTGTCAATGATGCTGTGCCCAAATTTGGCGATTTCTTCGATGAAACTGGGTTAGAATGGCTCCACATAAAGGGCGATAATCACGTAATCCACATACCTGGCAGTCTCTGCACTTAGTTGAAACGGGTTTTGCACATGGGTGTTGACAATAACCCAATAATAGCAGTAGTAGTAATAGTAGTAGTAGCAGCAGCAGC